GGGGGGGGGGGGACCGTCTGCTGAACACTCCTCCTTCCCCCCACCTCGCGGCTGGGCCTGAGCGCTGGCTCGTGCCCCTCACAGGCAAGGCAAGTGCCGGTGCTGGCCCGCGCGGGGATCAGGGAGGGTGGCGGGAGACAGGGCACAAGGATGAATGTTGTCGCTGTCCCAGTATCAGTACAGTAGTCACAGTGCTTTTGGGGACACACAGAACATCAGAGAGGGGAGGAAATACAGCCCCCACCAGAAAGAGATCTGCATCTGTGAGCCGCCCTCAAGTTCACGCTTCTTGTCCGTGGAGCTGGGAGCTCAGTGCAGGAGGGCTCACTAGGTCCCTGCTGTCAAGTGCGACCACATGGCATCGTACCCTGCGGCACCCCTCGAGGCCAGAGATGGCACCATTCCCAGCTCACTGATGAGGGCACAGGCTGAGCCTGTCCAGCCGACAGATAACAGAACAGAAAGGAGACAAAGCGAGGGCGGGACCCAGGTCTGTGCAGTGCCTGGGACATGCCCTCCCGCTCTCCGCAGCACACAGAGGGCCTTAGATGCGGCCACACCCACCTGACCGGCAGGGCCACAGGCGGAGGCCCTGCCTCCCCAGCTATCCGGGCGCCCACGGACTGCACGCCAGCTGCCCCTCCAGCCGGGAGGGCCGACCTGCTCGGGGCACACTTCCCTCCCCCTCCTGCTGTGCACCTCACTTCCCAGGCCTCAGACAGTTCCCTGTATCAGGGTCTTTTGGAAACTCTCTGAATATCCAAGGAGGACAGGAAGCTGGCTTCACACAAAAGACTCCTGAAAGCCACTCTGGTTTACTGACCAAACACTGGTCTCCGGCCACACCCAGGACCACCCCCTGCAGGGACTGCAGAACCAGCTTCCTCCCAGAGGCCGCCTGGCGAGGCTTAGCTGTCCTCAAGTTCAGCTGATTGCAGTGCCCCCCTTCCTTTGCGTTAGGCAGTCGATCTTCCTTTTCCAGACTGATTTTGGTAGTGAAGCACTGTATCTTGGAAGTTTTATCGGGGGCTCATTTTGGATTAAAAGCTGTCATTAACACAGTTAACGTCCAGTGCATTGCACAGATATTTCTTCAGGAGTCGCTTCTAACTGGCTCGCCCTCCAGATGGTTTTGAAATCAAGGAAGCTGCTCTGTTTGCCTTGAGCTGGGTATTTTGAACTTGGAGGTTACAGCCTCGGTCAGAATGGTAAGCGAAACAGCTGGCCATGAAGACCCGCCGAGAGACGCAGCAGGAGAAAGTTTCTGCTGATAATTTTCTTTGTTTTAAATAATTATTATGATTACTGATCTCCATTCACGGTTGATTTTTGGATGAGTGTACTTAAGTTAATTTTGTTCCTAGTTTTTACTCTTGGATTCAAAGTGAAGCCCCACACTGACAACTAATTTATTATGGGCTAGCCTGTTATTTCGTTCTAGTTAATCTGTCTCTAAATGATAACTTGCCATCACAAAGTATATGGTTAGAGATAAAAGCAGGGCTGAAATTAGACCAAAAGAAATGAGAAATAAAAAGGAGCTGTGGTTTCTTGTTTCCCCCCTCAAGCATAAATTGTCGAGTAAGGAGAATTTTGAAAGCCAGAAATTGCTGTGGAGTGAACCAAAGCTGGGGGCCAAAGAGCTGGTGCAGGGCACAGCTGGCACCAGGATTTTGCTGCTGTGGGTACCTAACCGCACTTACCCACGTCATGGCTCCAGACATCCGCAGAGAGGACATTCTCAGAGACAAGAAAGAGCGAGAACAAATGGGAAAAATCAACGTCCAAGTTGGAAACTAGCTCGCGGGGTTGTTTTCCTTGAGGCCCCACGGTACCTTTGATTTCCTGATTGCTCAGAGCAAGAATAACAAAATCCATCCGACCCGCTGATTCTGACAGATTCATCGGAAAAGCTACCAGTTGAGTTTGATGTAGCCCTACCCATGGTTCTCCACCAAGGGCAATTTTGCCGCTCAGGGGACATTTGGCTGTGCCTGGAGACCTTTCTGGTTGTCATAACTGGGGAGGTATTGACATTGGCATGTAGTAGGTGGGGGTCAGGGATGCTGCTAAACACCCTACAGTGTGCGGGACAGCCTGTGGCAGAGAAGGGTCTGGACTGCAAAAGTCAGCAGTGCTGAGGTTGAGAAACCTTGGCGTGTGTGTGTGTGTGTGTGTGTGTGTGTGTGTGTACTCAGTGTGAGTTCACTAGGTGGGGCCGCTGGTGTGCCCTTCTCCGCGAGGTTTCTCCTGGAGATATGAAGCCCAGGCACGCCTCGGCTCAGGTACCTAAATTCTGTAAGTATCTGAGGATTAACTGGGTTCTGTTTCCTTTCACTAGAGCAAAAGGATCTTGTTGCCTGGTGATGCAGCCGGTGGTGAAAGGACTTTTGAAAAAAGTGTTCAGTGGAAAGTGGTGCCTGGCGTAGGGCAGGCAGCTGCCAAGGCAGCTCGAGGGGGGTCGGCACCCTCCCTAGCGCCCGCGTCTGAATGCCGGGCCAACGGGTCGCCTCGGGCCCTCGGGAGCTCCTGGCCCCTCTCCTGGGGAATCCGTCTGACTTGCCCCGGCGAAAGGTTGCCAAGGAGCGAAGCAGCAGGACTCCCCGAGAGCAAGTGTGATGCTAAACTTCCAGTGATTTTACTGGCATGACGGGAAGCCCAGGGCCTGCCAAGGACAACAGCCCCGCACTGTGGCCAAGACGGCAGGCTTCTGGGGCAATCCGTCCCACTGCTCGGGACTGTCCCATTCTCATGGGAGCATAAAGGCAGCGGTTCCCCCTCTCCTCCGTTCACCTCTGCACCCAGCCAGCCCCCGACCCACCCCTTCTGCTCTACTTTCCTTGCCCTCCCTAACCAAGGAACAGCACTGCCTTGGCCCACTTCTGCATGGCTGTGTGACCTCTAACCTCCAGTCCTGTGATAAATGCACCCTTTAGGTGGATGTATCTTCGACTCTTCAAAACAGCTAACCCACTCCTCCCTGACCTTCCTTCAGACCCTTTCATCTCGCCTCCAAATAGCATGCTTAGCAATTGGGGGTTGGGAAGAAGTCTGGCTGAGGGGCTCCCGCAGGCAGACCTGGCTTTGCCTCTTGACTACAATGGAGTGGAGAGGGCCCGGTAGGACCTGGGCATCTTCCTGCAGACTCCTTGTAGTCCTCACAATAAGTCTAGACAGAGGTGAGGGTTTTGTGAGCCCATTTGGCAGGTGAGAACATTGGGGCTAAGAGCTGAAGGACATGCCAAGGCTGCACAGGTTGATGGAAGCTGATCTGTGCTTCTGAGCCAGGTGGTCTGACTCCAGGGTCAGAGTACTTAACCCTTCACAGTGTGAGGGTGCTTGGGGTGAGCCTGAGGCTGGGCACACTTCCAGGACTATGGCTGTTATTGTCACTTTTGCCAATGGTGGCACACCATGATTAGTTGGCATTTGTAGAGTTTTGCCCATTCCCCAACCCCTAAGAAGAACCAGCAGGAGAGCAGTTAGTCCTGGAGAAGGCACTATCTCCTCTATCAGGAGGTCCTGGGGTCCCTTGGCCATCCCCTCTCTCCCATCCCCCACACTACCTTCAGGCTTATGGGCACCAACCTGTGCCCACGGTCACTGCACCATCCCCTAACTTCTGCCCCAGCTCTGCTTCAGGGCACAAGCCCTGAGCACCCACAGGTCCAGGATTCTATGGGCAAGACCAGACCTATAGCCCTGGCGTGGACACTTGGGATTTGTACCTTGCCATGGGGGTCTCAGTGGCCCTGGGATCCTTTTGATCTTTTCGAAGGTCCCAGTCCCCCTGGAGCCCCACCCCAGGCGCTACTCCCAGTGCCTGGAGGTCAAGCCCCAAGGGGAACGCAGCGCACTTGGCACCATGACACCGCTCCCTCCTGCACTGCTCAGAAGGAACCTGGAGGTGCGGCAGGTGCCAGCCATGTGAGGCTGGGGAAGGGTGCCCAGGACACAGCATCACCAACCCCAGAGCACAGATCCCTGTAGCAGTCCCCAAGAACCCTCAGGGGACATAAAACAAGACCGCCAGCTCCCTCCCTTCCCACCTCAGGCAGCGAGGCAATAAGAGGGAAGGCGACACCTACCTCCCAAAAGCACCAGGATGCAAGCGAAGGTGAGCATGGCTGGGGGCATCCCGTCGGGGCTGGCAGGACAGCCTCCCGGTCACCTCCACGGTTTGCGGAAGGAGGCGTGGGTGTGGGGCTCTCGGGAGGCAGCTGATGCTGGCAGCCCGGCTGGGGTCCTGCGAAGCAGTTGCAAGGGCCGCAGAGCTCACCCTCCGGCTGTTGACGGTTGTAAGTCGAGCTGCGCACTCATAGGTCCAACTTGCCAGAAGAGGTGGAGACAGCCCAGCGTCGCGCACACTCCAGCGCCAGGGGCCCAGCCCTCTGGCGCAGCTCCTCCTGCCACTCAGACCCCTCAGCTGACCCCTCTCTGTCCCCTGCCCCTCGCCTCCCCCAAAGTCTTCTGCATTGAGCAAGGAGGCTTCCCTCAATTCTTGTCCTGGCCAAACCAGAGCGCTGCGCTCCTCTCTCCAAAACGCACCCCTAGGCAGGCTGGTCCCAGGAAGGTGGGGTGGGGGGGCGTGGAGGAAGCTCTTCTGTGCCCCGCTGGGTTTCTGATCCCAGAAGTTTCTACTCAGATACTCTTGGAAAAGTTTCTCAACTTAGAGCCTGGCTAGAGGCGCAGTGAAAGTGGCCAACCTGGGGTGCCCACAGCCAGCAGCGCTCTCTGTAATTAGTTCCTGCGGGCTCCAAAGAGCATCCAAGCAAACAGTGTGGAGCCACCAGGGC